CAGGCTGGAGTGCAGTGACACGCTCACGGCCACCGCAGCCTCGACCTGCTGGGCTCAGGCGATCCTTCTGCCTCAGCCATCCAAGTAGCTGGAACTACAGACGCACGCCATCACGCCTGGCTAGCTTGGAAAGTCTTTCTCATCCTCTGATTCCTCCAGTGCCTTTTTGTCTTGCTAAGTCCCATCAGGTGCCTAAGTCAGTTGGCACCAATTCTTCTGCAAAGCCTTCCCAGAACCTCCTCCTAGACCAATGTAGACTGTCCTTCTATGGGCCCCCAGATCACCCTGTGCCTTCTTTCTCAAAGCATCTAACACACCATATTTATAATTATTCACTTGTCAGATTCTTGGGATTAGGTGGTCAGCTCTGTGTCTTATTTGCCATTATATTCCAAGCTCCTAGCATTCAGCTGAACACATAGTCATGGTTCAATAATGTTTGCTGCTGTGTATGGTGGCTCAAACCTGTAATCCCAGCACTTTGGGAGGTCGAGCAGGGAGGACTGCTTGAGTCTAGGAGTTTGAGACCAGCTTGGGCAACATAGCGAAACCTCATCTTTACAAACAATTTTAAAAATTAGTTATGTGTGCCTGTAGTTCCTACAACTTGGGATGCTGAGGTGGAAGGATAGCCTGAGCCCAGGAGGTAAAGGCTGTGGTGAGCCACAATTGTTCCACTGTATTTCCGCCTGGGTAACAGAGTGAGACTGACCCAGACTCAAAAAAAAAAAAAACAGTTTGCTTAATGAACAAGCGATCAACCTGGTAGCAATCAGTGCCTCCCCCCAAAACACTCCCCTTCAGGGGGGAGTCCTAGGCCCTAAGCCAAACCTCTTTAAAATCAATGGTTCCCATGAGAACTTTCTATGTCACCCTAGAGATATTTCTGTCCTTGAGTTGTAACCCTCTTATTTCCTGTGGGCTTAGTGAAGGTGTAGGCGTTCTTCGTCATCAGTAAAATGGCAAGTAAGTCCCGTTTTGCAGGGTCATGGAAATTCACTGAGGTAACGCATGGAGGTACTTTGTAAACTGCAAAAGACTGCATGGAGCCCTTAATGGTGATCAAACACAGGAAATGTGCTGCTCTTTGCCTCAAGACCCCATGCAGACAAGGGCCCTCCTGTTTATACAGCATTATCTCTAGCAATCAGGTTACAATTGATTGACATCATCACTTTCTTTATATTTGGCAGATTCCCAGCCTGCAGCAACATGCTGGTCACCATAGAGACCTGAGAAGCACCCTCAGCTCATTGGTATCATATTTACAAACCAACCCTTAAAGTGGATTATTTTGCAGATGGCTGATCTCATCTATTCAGTGTTGATTCTATTAGTTCCAATTTCAGAAGGTGACATTTTCTGACTTTGTCCCCTTAAGCACAAGCGAAAACTATGGATTTTTGTTTTTGTTTTCAGAAGAGAAAAAGTACAAGGTGTGCTTGGGAAACAGTGGGAAAACAGACAAATGGAGGGGATGGTTTGTAGGGGAATGGCAGGATGAACCTCTCATCCACTCATTCATTTGTACGGCACCCACAGTGTGCCAGTGAGTGGGCTACGTGATGGTGGTAGAGCTGTGAACAAGATTAACTTTATGGACCTCACAGTCTCCAGGGGGAGACAGACAATTAAACAGATAATTTTAACACAGTACGGCAAATTTTGAGATGGGAGGAATAGGGAAACAGTGTGCTTGAGCCCCTAAGCTTCCCAGAGGAAGCAACATCTCAGCCGAGAACTGCATGAGTAAGGGTCAGCCAGAAAAAGCTGAGGAGTGG